TCTCTCTCTCTCTCTCTCTCTCTCTCTCTCTCTCTCTCTCTCTCTCTACCCCAACCCGGTTATTACCCCTAATCGCTGCACCCCATTGCTGTTAGGAGCCTTGAGTTGGCGGGTGGGGGCCGCCGGGTGGGCTGCAGGCTGAGCCGGGCCGCGAGGGGGCGGTGCCCGCAGGCCCGCCGTGCCGGGAGCCGACGGCAGGGGGCGCTGGCGGCCGCTCCGGGCGGAGACAATCGCGCCGAGCGGGCGCCGCAGCCGGAGCGGGAGCCCAAGCCCGAGCCGCGCGGAGCGGTGCAGAGCTGGGGCTGAGCGGGGCCGGCCGAGCGGGGCCGGGCGGCAGCGATGGACCGCTAGGGCCCGGCCGAGCCCCGCGATGCCGCCGCCGAGTGGCCCCGGTGTCCTCGCGCGGCTGCTGCCGCTGCTGGGGCTGCTGCTCGGCGGCGCCTCCCGGGCTCCCGGCAAGTCTCCGCCGGAGCCCCCCAGCCCGCAGGGTGAGTCTCGGCCGCGAGGGTCGGCGATCGTGGGCCTGCGCCCCGTGATCGGCTGCCACCGCTGGCCCCTCTTCGTGGTGCTAGTGACTTGGGGTGCATTCTGCTCTAGGGATTGGGGGGGGAGGCGGCCTGAGATCGGTGCTTCTGGGGGAGAGATTGGGGGGACTGTTTGCTGCGGGGGTCTTGGGGAGACACAATGGGGAGGGCGAGGGTCTCCAGGCTCGGCGCTGCCGCCTCCTCCGACTTGTTTTTCTCCCTCCTGGTCCGCGAGGCGCTGCAGCCAGGGCTATTGTCTGCGGAAGACACCCGCCCAGGGGCGGGCTGGGGCGGGCGCCGGCTCCGCAGCCCCCCGCGGGTCCCTAGCTGCGACCCAGGCTGGGTGGGGGCGCAGGCATCGGCTGCCACCCTGGGCCGGACGGGGGCTGGGAGCTTAGAGCTGGGCTGTAAGGGGGGGAGGGGAGAGGGGGAGTGGGTGAGGCTGTGGGCGGGATTGACTGCTCGAACGGGGTTTTCACCCGGGAGCCTGACAGCTTCCAGCCAGCCCCCCGGGTTTAGATTTTGGGGCTCACCGAATAAACACTGATCAGCTCATGCTGGAGGGAGGGGCTGCAGTTGGAGGGGGGCCTGAGAAAAGGGGTAATTGTGATTCCCAGCCCAAGGCGCATGGCAGGGCTGTGGTCGCGGAGCGATGCTGAGCTGGCTGGCTAGCTGTGGGCAGTACCAGCTGAGAGGGCAGGTGT